TTTTGACAAATACATAATGTCATGTATCCACCATCACAGTATCACACGGAGCATTTTCTCTGCCCTCAGAATCCTCTGCTCTCCACCTGTTCACCAGCCCCCAACTCCTGACAATCACTGGTCTTTTTACTGTCTTCATAGTTTTGTGTTTTTCAGAATATCATTTAGTTAGAATCAGATTGGCTTCTTCCATTTGGTAATATGCATTTTATTATTATAATTTTTTTGGCTGGGGAGGTAATCAGGTTTACTTCTTTATTTATTCTTAGAGGAAGTACTGGGGAATGAACCCAGGATCTCATGTATGCTAAGCATGTGTTCTACCACTTGAGCTGTACCTTCCCCCAAAATTAATTAAATTTGGGGGGGTAACTTATTTTATTTATTTATTTTTAGTGGAGGTACCAGGAATTGAACCCAGGACCTCATGCATGCTAAGCACACACTCTACCACTTGAGCTATACCCCCCACCCTAATAATATACATTTAAGCTTCTTACGTGTCTTTTCATAGCTTGATGGCTCATTGCTTCTTCAAAACAATTTTTTATTGATGCATAGATCTTGCTCTGCTGCCAACCATTGAAGCAGATGGCTAAACACTTCTTCAATCACAGTAGCAAATAATCCTTCGTGGATACCTGCTGACCATCCTAGAAGGGCCCTGCAGGGCACAGTCCTTAGCAGGGGACAGTCTCAGGCTGAGTGGAGAAGGTGCAAACAGGAGCCCCAGGGCGCCTGTGAGGTGCTTAGCGGGGAGCCGACAGGCCACATGCACTTCCTGAAAGATGCTTTGCATCCACCCCATTCGTTCCTGCCTTAATCTCTTTGACAGACGTTGCTGGCACTGGAATAAATCAGGAAACTAGAGACAGCTAGTCCCTGCCTTCATGGAGCTCACAGTCTCGTGGGGAAAACAGATTTAAAAAAGGACAATTACCTCTGACCGGGAATGTTTAATCAAGCTCTAGGCTCCCCTTGTAGGTGACAGGACACACGGAGGGTAAAGGTGAAAGTGGGGCAGTCTATAAGGTGATTTGCCTGGACTGTTAAAAAAAAAAATCAATATAAGGGAAAAAAGGCCAAGGTTTGAGACTGAAGAGATACAACAATCAGTTGCAAAAGTGACCCTTGACTGAGTCCCAGATTGAAAGAAAAAGTGATGAAAAGGCATTTTAGGACAAATGGGACATCTGAATGTAATAGATGGTGCGATGGAATTTCTGTTCGTTTTCTTAGGTGTGATAATGGTGCTTATGTAAGAGAACATTCTTGTTTTTCCAAGATGCTCGCTAAAGTATTCAGAGACGTGTTTGCAATTTACTTTCTGAAGCTGACAACAAAAAAAGAGAGTGTATGCTTTGAAAAATACAGATCCATGGAAAGAGTGGGAGGGAAAAGTAAGGCAACTTGGCAAGAAGCTGACAACTGGCAAATCCTATGGTGTGTGATATTCACTGTCCTACTTTTTAACTTTGCAAAGGATAAACTATTTAATTATCTGTAACTGATCAGCCACAAGGAGGTCCACAAAGGTGACCCACAGGGTACACCGCAGCCAGGGCAGGAGGCCCCAACTCCCTGGAAGCAGAGAGTTCCCTGAGGATGGGGCAGTTCAGCCAAAGCCTGAACTAGGGGAAGACGCTGAGAAACCTGGAAATCTCCGGACAGGGCCAGCCTATGTGGCAGGAACGGATGGCAGGGAGGCAGCTGCAAGAGGTGGGGCTGGGCTGGGCTGGCTTTGGGCTGAGGAAGGAGTGTGGACTTCATCCTGGGTAATCTGGGGGGGGGGCACCTGCACCCTCTTCTGATAACCTCTCTCAGGAAGTGCTCCTGATCCCACCCTACAGGATGGTGAGGGGGTGCCCATAGCTAAGCCGACCAGAGCCAGACCGGAAAGCGAGCAGATAGTCAGTGTGTCAACCTGAGCAAGGCTCTTGGAAGCTCAGGTTTGGAGACCAAAGCTCTGGGGTGTGCCTGCCTGTGTCCAGCTGTCCCCAAGGCCTTTGGTGGCCCTTTCAGGATGGTTGTTTTTGAGCCCTTCTGAGTGGGTCACCGTCACTTGCAATCTGAGTTGTGGCTAACCCATCAGGGAAAGGGTTTCAACAGAGGAGCGCCCTGGCCAGAAATGAGTTGGGTGTTGGAGGCTGGGGACCAGTGTCGATCACCACCAGTCATAACTAAGAATGAATAAACACAACTTACAGTTAAATGAAAATAAAAACATGAGCTTTAAGTAATGGTCCATTAACCAAGAGGTGTAGACCTACAATTCCACTTATACCAGGTTCAAGACCAGGCCAAATTACTGTCTGATGACAGGGGCCAGAGCAGCAATGGCTGAAGAGGGTGGGGAGAGGGATGGAAACATCCATCTTCAGCATTTCTGGGGTGTATGACCTTACAGAGCTCATTGTTATGTGTCAGCTTAAAAAAAGGGGGGGGGGATCAGGCAAGTGGCTGGTGACTCCCAACACAGAAAGTAAAAAGTTAAAAAAAAAAGGCTTCAACAGCCCCTGAACCAACTGAACACTTCCTTGATCCTGTCTAGAGACTTCTCTCTCCAAAGATTGCGCTGACGTCCCTGGCTTTTCTCCTTGAACCCATGGCAGGCAAGCTTGGAAAGGTGGTGAGGATGGGGCTGGAGTGAGGATGGGAGCCCATGCTGCAGGGAGAGGGCCACAGGCCGAGCCCAGAGCAAGAAAAGGACGCAACATGGCAGTGGGGACAGAGAGCTGCCTCAGAGAAACACTCAGGAAGTATTCCCTCCCCTTCAATATTCACAAGTGTGGGAAAGGTGGGTGTAATCCTTTAAATGTTTGTTAGGAATGGATGCGTGAAGCCATCGGGTCCCGGGCTTTTCTGTGTTGGAGGTCGGGGTGGGACTGATAACTGAGCCAATCTTCTTACTCATTGTAGGTCTGTTCATATTCTCTATTTCTTCTTGGGTCAGTTTCGGCAACTTACCTATTTGTAGGAATTAGTCCATTTCATGTAAGTTACCTACTTTGTTGGTGCACAACTGCATATAGCATTCTCCTATCCTTTTTATTTCTGTAAGGTTAGTGGCAATTTCCCAAGTTTCATTTCTGATTTTAGTCATTTGCATCTTTTTTTCCCCTTAGTCAATCTAGCTAGTCTTGTTCATCCTGTTGCTTTTCAAGGAAACAACTTTTACTTATGTTGATTCTCTATTGTTTTTCTATTCTCTTTGCTTTAATTATTTCCTTCCTCCTGCTACCTTTAGATTTAGCTTGTCTCTTTCCCACTGGTGCCTTCAGTTGTAAAGTTAGGTTAATTTGAATTCTCTTTTTAAATGTAGATGCTTACAGCTATAAATTTCCTTCTTTAACGCTGCATCTCAAATTTTGGTGTTTTTGTACCTTGTAATTTAATTTGTGGTTTCTTCGGCTGTTAAAGAGGGTTGTTCACTTTTCACTCATGTGTGTGTTTTCCTGTTTCCCTTCTGTTATTATCTAGCTTTGTTCCACTGTGGTTAGGAAAGGTACTTTGTATGATCTCAATCTTTTTTTATTGTTTTTTTTGGGGGGTGAGGTAATTAGGTTTATTTATTGTAATTATTTTTTAATAGAAGTACTGGGGATTGAACCTGGGACCTTGTGAATGCTAAGCACACACTCTACCACTGAGCTATACCCTCCCTGCCTCAATCTTTTTAATTCATTGAGACTCATTTTGTGGCCTAACATGTGGTCTCTGCTGGAATGTCCCCAAGCACTTGAAAAGAACACGTGTCCTGCTGTTGTTGGGTGGCCTGTCTGTGTCAGGTCTTGTTGCCTTTCTGCTTTTTAAGTTGCCGATTTTTGGCACATATGTAAGAACATATAACATATGAAGCATCAGGTGAAAACCCAAAAAGCTGCCATGCCCTTAAGGGTCGAGAATGCCAGGAACATCTTCACTTTCCCCAGATGCACCCGTGTCGTCCCCACATGGAACACTGTGGCCACTGTGTTGACCGCCTTGTTTCCCTTCGTCATTGTAACACGTGTATGAATCCCATGAAATATACATTTCATGCTGCACTTTATAAAAATGGCACCACATTGCATGACCTCCCACACCTTGCTTTTTCCTGTATTTTGAGTCCTTCGTGATGTTGGGGCTGGGGTCCCTGACGTTGCAGCAGTCGCCCCTCAAACCCTAACCCACCCTTCTGTGGGTGGGGTTTTGAGTAGCTCAGACTTTGGCTCATTCCCATCTCCTGATTTCTCCCCACTCCGCCCAGCACCTAGAATGTAACAGGCCAAGGGCGCAGAGATCCCAGTCAGACCAGTGTGGGACAGCACTCCCAGCTACGCCTAACATCCCCCTGAAAGGAGGGCCCACCTGGTGGGCTGTGCTGGCCGTCCCTTAATCCCACCAGGCCACTCATACCTGGGCTGTCCCTCTGCCCCCTGCAGCACTGGGGCGCACTGTTGCTCCCTCAGCTTCCCCGACTTGCTCCCTGGGCCAGAAAAGCTGGAAATAAGGATGCAGAAAGGGACAAGGAGGCCCACATCTGAGGCTCCAGAATGTCAGCAGGCAACTTGGAGCCTGTCCACACTGGACACTTCCCACACCACTCGCGGCACCCTGTGGAGCAGGTCTCTGGGGGTGTCCGCTCTCCTCCCCCATGGGGTTCATAAGCCTCTTCTGCCAGACAGGAAGGCCCTCAGGGCCACGAAGTGGGCCCACCTGGAAAGCCAGCACACAAATGAACCAGTGTTGAGCCAGTCAGGCATTTAGTCCCCGCCCCTCCTGAGGCCCTTGGCCCCACAGCTGGCTCCCTGCCGCAGGCAAACCCACGCAGTGACGTGGTGGCAGATGTGTCTACCAGCCCTGGTGACACTTCACGAAAGAGCTCTCTAGCCAAAGCCAACTTGGAAAATTCCAGGGACGAGGAAATTTACCACGGGGCGGGAAACAGCTGAGCCTTGGCTTGGAACAGGGTGCCCCGCCTGGGGTGGGGGTGGGGACGCAGGTGAACAGGAAGGAGGGACTGGCCAAGCCCACCATGAGGGAGTCCTTTAATAGAGACAGGCAGACAGGGGACACGACTAGGCCCTGCACCGAGGAGAGCGGCAGCTCCTCCTCCCCCACCTGGCATGGCCCCAGGGTGGACACAGGGAGATGGTTTAAAAAACACAGCGGGACCAATTCTTCACTTTCACAGAAAAGGGGAAGTTGGGGGAGCAGCCGCTGGAGAGTCTGCACGTGGAGTGGTGTCTGAGCCCCGTCCCCAGGCAGCGGGGCTTGCTGCCCCCTGCACTCTGGCGCTGGCAGGAGCCCCAGCCCAGAGACCCTGGCTGCACGGACGGACCAGCCACCTACATCTGTTAGTGTTCCTACACTATGTACACTGTTGTGCTTTAGAGCCCCCACCCCAGCCTCAGCCCGAAGCCTCAGGTGGGCAGACGGACCCCACCAGCCACAGCACACAGCAGGCAGGGTGAGATCAGGCCGCAGGACAGAGCGGCCCTGCTCCCCGCCGGCCAGGGCCCAGGGGCCATTGAAATAGAAAGGTCAACACTGGACAAGATGCAGGCCGGTGGGAGCAGGCAGGGGCGGGGGAACCCGGGGCAAGGCTGAGAGGTCAGGGGCGCCAGGTGTGTCATGGACCGGGGGGGGCTGGCCGGGGGCAGGGTCGGGCAGCTCAGCACAAACAGTTCTGCCGGCTAACCGGGCCAGCGCGTGCCCCTGCCGGGGGTCCCCTCCCTCCCCGCGCAGGGCTGCCTCCAGCTCCGGGGGGGCCCAGGCTCCAGGTGTGCGCGCGGGGAGGGCCGCTGGTGTCAGGTGGGCTGGGCTGGGGGCAGGTGTGTGACATCTGTGGGCATGTCCCCGCCAGCCGGGGGTGAGCAGGATCAGTTGTTCTCGAAGAGGGAGAGCAGGTCGTCATTGTTGTTTGTGGGGAGGTCGGGTGGGCCCAAGTAGGTCAGCAGCTCGTCGGGGTTGGTCAGTTCCGGGAGCAGCTGAGGACAGAACAAACCTGTCAGCAGCTCTGGCCTCACGCCCACCGCACCCCGGGGGGCTGTCCTGCCACGGCCTCCCAGCGGGGTCCCCAGTCTCAGCAGGGATCTGGAGCACCCCTACCCCAACCCTGACACAGGCTGGCACTGGCGTCCCCCAGTCGGCTCTGCACAGGGGCTCTCCCTGCAGAAGGCTGCTCTGTGCCCAGGAATCGCTCATGACAAGTCATCCAAGGACGACACGGGGCACAAGCAGGGACCACGAGGGGAGCCCCATGTGGACAGGGCAGATGCAGGAGGTGGCATCACAGTCCCTGGGATTTTCTGCTCTAAGCTGTTTTTTCTCCCTTTTTTCACAATGAGCTTTGTATTTTGTTTCTCATGGTTGAGGGACAGTCACCTGCTTTTATGCGCTGATTCTGGCTCACACACCACCTGGGAGTCAGAAAGGTCGAATCAGACCCCAGGGCTAGTGTCGTCAGCTGCAAGCCATCTTTTTAGGGACTCTACGTGTGCCACTGTGGCACTCAGGTCGCCAGACACAGTCACCCCACCCTACTCTGGATACCTGACACTTGTCAACAAGAGAGCTGACGTTACCTGACCAGCTGTCCCTGCATCTGGAAGTCACTGAGGTGTCAGTGTCCTCCCTTCTACGAAGCACGTGGACCCTGGGGACGACGGATAAACCACCCCCAGCCCCGGCTCCCAAGCCCTCCCCAGCATGGGGCCCAGTACTCACATCCAGGGCTGGTTCTGGGGCCTCCCCTGCCCCAGACATGGGGGGGCCCATCATGCCTGTGGTAGCACTGAAGGCCAGCTCGCCGATGGGACCCGAGTTCACTGGGCCCAGGGGCTGCCGGGACACGGGGGGAGGGTTTGGATGGTGCAGCTGGGGCCCTGGGGGGCCGCCAAGGTTGGGAGCGTGCAGCCCTGGTGGCCCGGGGTTATGGGCCGGGTCCAGGTGACCTGCTGGTGCCATCTGAGAAAGGAGAGAAGAATCTAGTACAATGGCCCAAGGGCTCCCTGGGGGGACAGATTCCCAACACTTGACTTGGCACTGACCTGGCCTGGGAGGCAGGCGGCAGACTTCTCTGGCGTCAGGATGCTGCTGGGAATGTCGGATTGATAGGAGGCAGGAGGTGGCCCTGGGGTGAACTCAGTAAGGGTCGGGGTGCTGGGCGTGGTGGGCGGGAAGGAGTCGGGGAAGGTCCCTGGCCCCAGGAAGCTGGAACCTGAGAGAGGAGAGCGAGGTCCTGGGTGAGGACAGGGGCTCACGCTGGTAGAGCACCAGGAGGGCGGGCCAGCCACAGCGTGGGCAGGACTCACAGCGCCCACCCAGGTAATGAGCTGGGTTTTATGGAAGCCACTATTCAGAATAGGGCACTTTTTCTCACTGCTGCTGGGGAACTGGCCTCATGACACTACCAGGAGGCTATGAGGGGACAGGAATGGGACCCACCACAGACACTCCTGCTGGGTCAGACGGAGCAGGTCCACGGAAGTGTGCCAGCAACAGACCTTTGCTCCAAACTGCTGGGGAGGGTGGGTGCACCCACAGCTGGGGGCCCTGCCGCCCACCCCCAGGAGCTAGGCCGAGGATGCCCCTATGCTGCCGGGTCCCTAACCAGGCCCCAGGCTTGTGGCCCTTGAAGCGACGCATTCACAGGTGACAGGCAGGTTGGAGAGGACGACCCACCTGTTTCCAGGCTGAGTCCCCACTGTACTCACCCTGGCTGGGGTAATCGCTGGGGGCAGGAGCTGAGGGGGGCTGCAGGGGGGCAAAGGGAGCAGCACTGGGGCCCAGGGCAGCGATCATCTCCATCACGCTGGGCATGAGCACGTGGGCGGGGCTGACGGTGCGACAGCGCTTCAGCACCGGCCCGTCTGGCTCCTCCTTGATGTGCACGTCAGGCTTCACAGGCACTGGCTTCCAGCTGCACGTGGGGTCGATGGTGATCTCCTCGTAGTCGGAGCTGGGCGGGGACATGTGAGCACCGGTCACCGCCTGGCCTGCTGCCTCTCCTGGCCCAGGGCCCGGGGCCACGTTTAGGCAGACCTTCCATTCCAGTGCTCGTGGCCACCCGGCACCTTCCACGTGCCTTGTAGGGTGCCACGCCCAGGTAGCACATGGATTCCGTCCATGGCCTGGAGTTGAGCCTGCTCCCTGGGTGAGCCACGAGGGGGGGTCTCCCCACCTGTCCCAGGGCTGCCCTCTGCTGGCCAAAGACGCTGGGGGCGCAGGAAAGGAGACTTACTTCTGAATGTAAATGAGGATGCCCAGCATGTACTGGTCCACCTCCAGGCCCTCCAGCAACGCTGTCTTGCTGTAAACAAAGGCAACACCTCTCAGAGGCCTGGCCCAACCTGGCCACAGGCCCTGCCACTTCTCGGCTCCCAGTGTGAGGTCACCCTGCACGAGGTGACCCCGTGTGAGATGATCCTGGGCAGTGACTGTATACAGGAGGTGACCCTGCGTGACACGTCCCTGCCCTGAGCCACACTGTCCCCAGTCTGTGATGTGACGCCCCACACCTGGCTTGGATGTTTCTCAGTGCTACCGGAAAGAAATGCCCGTGACAGGCCCTGAGGAAGCACCCGCCGCCCGCCCCCTTCCGAGCGGCGGGGACCGTCTCTGACACACTCACTTGCACACGGGGCACCTCCAGGTCCCTCGCTCACAGTTGAGCTGTAGATACGACTCTAGGTCGAAGCACTGCGGAGAGGGGGCGGAGGGAAGAGGCCGCTGCGCACACTGGGGCCGGGCCGGGCCGGCCCCACCCTGCGAGCTAGCCCTGCGGTTAAACATGGGGCTTATTTACTGCCTGTCTGAGGAGCCACGTGTGCCAGGCTTTCCCTGCAGTGTCGTCCGAACAAACTGAGACTGGGGACGGCCTTCGCAGCCCTCCCTGGGACTGGAACGCCATGTGGCCGAAGCAGGAAGAACTGGGCAGCTGTGCTGACAGAGAATGACCTCCAGGAAGCGGTGCAGAAGGAAAAAAGTATGGTGCAGAGCAATGCGTACCATTTCCGCAACCAAAAGGTGGGGGTGGGGTGTGTGCACGTACTAACCCACCTGCAGAGCGTTTGTGCAGAGACAGAAACGAAGGCGTTACTGGGAGCAGGAAGAAGGCTGCGCCCTGCATCCTGGACATGCTACAAAATCGGAGCCCCGTGCATGCAATAAAGTGGTTGTTATACTTCGAATAATATTCAAGAAACAAAAGCCCAGTCTGGCGGGAGACCATGGGGAAGCCAGGCCACCTGCCCACTGGCTGGCCTGTCCCATCACCTGCCAGCCGAGGCTCAGAGCTCACATCTGCTAAAAACAGTTAAATGACCAAAGTCCGGGCAAAGCTCTGCAGTGAACACCCACCTGTATGTGGCGACAGTCGTGACCTCGGGCAGGGAGCTGGATTCTGCGGAAGGTGATGGGGCACTTGAGTGACACCTTGATGGCTGTCTGCTCCACCCCGTCCTCTCCGTTGGGCCCAGGGGTGCCAGGGATGGTGCCGCTGCTGAAGTTCCGCTTTACTGAGATCAAAAGGGGAAAGGAGGACTTGAGTACAGGGCTGCTGAGCAGGAGGACCCTGTTGCTGCTGGCTCAACAGCTCTGAGGGACCACCTGGAGTTGACCGTTGCCCCCTGTGCAGAGCTGCCACCCCGCAGGAGATGGTCTTATCTGACCTGGGGACATGCCAGGTGCAGCAGTGGCCCCGGCAGAGTCAGGAGCTGGCTGCCCGGGGGCCGAGGAAGGCAAGGGCCACTCACTCTTGGTGATGCAGTGCTCAGCAGGCAGGAGGCGCTTCTTGAGGAGACCCTGCAGCACCGAGCGGACGGAGGGCCGGTGCACCAGCTGCAGCACGAAGAGGTGGGACTGCAACGGGAGGCTCTGGTCAGGAGGATGCAGGCCACAGAGGTGCAGCACGCGCGGGCCGGGAACTGTTCTCTCATTGCTAATGCACAGGGAAGCCGCCTGCTGCCCCTCCCCGGGGAGCCCAGGGGACCGTGCCCAAGCCTGTCTGTAAAGCCACTATCTGTAAAGCCCACTGTGTGTCTGCACCCGTGTTCAATCACGGCCTCCCTGGCAAAACGCAGAGAGGCCCCTGAATGCACCCTGCCTACAGCACCCACCGTGACTTACGCTGGGTCCAAGTGAAGACATTCCAAGCCGCAGAAATGCATCAGGGCTGCCCCGCCTCAGCTCCCTCCTACCCAGGCTGAGCAGTGCTGCCCATCTAAGTGCATTCTGCCTCCTCCAGTCCTGGATCCCGGGGCCTGCTGGAACCCAGGTGACTCCTAACAGGGACCCAGGGGCAGCCGGGGACTCCATGAGCATCCTCCAGGAAAGACGCAGGCTCGGTCAGTTTCTCTGACGCAATTAACACGAGCATCAAATTGAGTTAACAGAACCTAACCGGAAAGCAGTGAGGGCGTTTTTAACTGGGACCTTTTTCTTAAACGGCCAGTAGAACGGATTGGACAGGGAACTACGGGAGGGAAGGAGGAAAGCCGACGCCCTTCTGCTCAGCGAGGACACCCCGACCGTGGCCCGCGGAGGGTACTCACGCAGCAGCAGGCCGTGACGGTGATCTGGATGGTGTTGCGGCCCGGCTGGCACACATGCTTCAGGTATAAGGGCTTGTGGGAGGTCTTGTTGTCACCACGCTCAATGGTGAGCGGGGTGGCGTTGACGCTGACCTGCACCGAGGCCGGCCAGTTGGTGTTCATCTGCCGGTCCTCGTGGTGGTAGCACTTGAACTGCAGCTCCAGGTCAGGCCTCAGCATCAGGGTCTTGTAGACAGAGTCGCGGAGCTGGAAGGCGTGGTTGCTCACGGCCAGGTTGTGCTGCAGGCGGAAGGGCTCGAGGACCACCCCATCCCGCACGGGGAAGGTCAGCCGCAGCTCGTCACAGGGGCCGCTGCCTGGAAGCAGGCCACACTGGTGTGACCAGGCCACCTGCACAGAGGGCCGCCAGGCCGGGTGGCCTGCCCCCACTGTATCACAGGGACCGTGGCCCCCTCCTCCTCCTCCATGGGGCTGGGGTTTTGGCGGCAGCTCTCCTGGGACCCTGGGCTCAGCCTTCACCTCCCAGGGGAACAGGATCCTGGTGTCCTGTCATCTGTCCTATCTCAGTCACCTGGCCCAGTGATTCCGAAATTATGACTGGAGAACATGCCTCCAACCCCAAACAAAGGTGCTGCTGGTGCTGTCAGAGGGGGTAAGAGCCATGAACAGGCCTCCTGCCATCACCCCAGTGCTCAAGGTAGGGTTTTAGGGCTTGAACTGCTCTTGCAGTGGTCCCCTGCGAAGGAGTTCTTAACCAGAAGCGGGCTTCACAGGGCCCGTAAGTCCCCAGAACATTCGGCGCACACTAGTATTTTTCTAGAGAGAAAAACCACACCTCAAACAGGTATGCCAAGAGGTCCATGATGAGAACATAAAAGTGAGGGTCCCCCACCCCCAAGTTCCCCGCAGGACTCTCTGGAGCCCTCCCACCTGTCCCGGGAGCAGATGACACTCACCAGGGGGTGACGGGTGCAAGCTGCTCACGCTGGGCTTGAGGTCGGGCAGGAAAGGAGATTTGACCTCTTGGCTGGTGGACATGTAGGGAACGCTGCTGCCAGGGGTCATGGGCGGCGTGGGGCTCCCTGGCAGTGGGGAGCTGGGGTAGCCGGGGATGGAACGAGCAGGCTGTGGGGTCGAGCAAACAGTCAAGGTGGAATGGTGTTGGGGTGGGGTTTGTTCTTGGAGCACCCACTGGGAGCCCTCAGACCAGAAATAGGCAGGGGACAAGCTCAGGGGGGCCTGGTTGGGTGCCCACAATTCCTCCTGCCTGGGGATCCTCTCTCCACACACCCACCCTGTGAGCCTCCCGCCCGCCTGCCCATCTGCCCAGCCGCCCATATGCCCAACTCAGGCTGGGCTGACTGCAGCTGACGCTGCCCCCGTTGAAGCTGGCCCCCTGCCCATTGAACTGGTCTGCAGGCTACGGGAGAGAAAACTGCATGTGCCCGAGGCTGCCACCAACCCTGAGCCAGGCCCCTGGATGTGATCCTAGGGGAGGGCTGGAGACAGAGGGCCCACCACACACGTGGGTCCTGCCCTTTATTTTCTTCTTTACATACTTTGTGCGTTTTCCAAATAACCTACAGGGTGTACATACTGATTTCATAATTGTAAAAATTACCACTACAGAAAAAGGGCTGACCCCAAATATCAGAGGGGCTTACAGGGAAGCCACAGAGAGGCTGAAAGGATTCACGTACACACACGTCCCCTCCCGTCCAGTGGCACCTGTTGTTCAGACCCCTCCCTCTATGCACTCCTGACAGGCCTGTCCCCTCGCTGGGCTCCTCTGCAGCAAGCAGAGGGAATGGGGACACTTTTCCATAAAAGACGCTCAGGTGGTGCCTGCCTGCTGCTCCCTTTGCCAAATTTCCACTTAGATACGCAAATCTCATAGAGGGTTCTATCTGACCTGGATGCCCCTCTTGAGAGCCACCTATACTGGTCAGGACCCCTGTGAAGCTCCTGGTTGCCTGGTCACCTGAGCACACGCGGACCCCTCCCCAGCCAGCCCAGCCCGCCTCAAGGTCCGTCTGTGCCCCACAGCACTTGGAGTGGGTCCGGCAGAGGAGAAGCTGGCCCTACCTTGTAGTGCAGTCCTGCGGGGCCCGACGTGGGCAGGGACTGGCCCCCGCCCTGCTGCAGGGGCAGCCTGTGCCCAGGGTAGGAGGAGGGGGCAGGGGGCTGGCCAGGGCCAGGTGCATACTGGGTGGCGCTGGGCCCATACTGGCCTCCTTGCAGGTACTGCTGCCCAGGATAAACCTGAAAGAGAAAAGAGACAAAATGCCCAGGAGAATGGGTGTCAGGGAAGCTGGTTCCCAGGGAGGGATAGTGGTGCCCACCCCACCCTGTCAGGCCCAGCCAGTTTCTCTCAAACACAGTGGCTCTGATGGTGCTCAGGGTGACGAGGCCCGGCCACTCACCTCACTGGAGTAGGCTCTCTTGACGCCCTGTCGGGGGAGTGCCTGGGCCTGGGGAGGCCCAGGGTACCCATGCTGGGGCAGGCGCTGCCCTGTATACAGGGGCGCCATGCCCGCTGCCCGGGTGGGGTTCATGCCCATGGGGCTCATGCCGGAGGGGCCCATCAGCCCTCCCACGCTGGCAGGGTTCATGCTGCTGGGGACGCTGGGCCCCCGGGGACCTCCGTGCTGCAGGAACTGGCTGTTAAAAGACTGTCCAGCCCCGATCTGGGAAGAGAGAGGAATCATTCAGGCCGTACCCACTGCTGTGGGCGCCAGCCCTGTGCCTGCCCCTTGCAGACAGGCTGTCCCCACCCCAGGGCTCCCCTCAGCTCCTCACTCCTGCCCCACCCATGTCCCTCTCACCGCCTCATCTTCACCAGCCCCGGCACACTGCCTGCATGTCTGGGGTCCTCCACCCTGGCTGCCTGACTAGCCCCTGCCTTCCGGCCCAGCGCACAGGGGCCCACACAGGAGGAGCTGCTGGGCCTCACCGCTCCGTACTGGCTCAGCTCCTGGCTCTGCTTCTCCTGGAGGGCGGCCACAGTGGCTGTGGCCGTGGCGGTGGCCGTGGCGGCAGCAGCAGCCACAGCAGCCGCCGCCGCCGCTTGCGTGAAGTCAGTGGAGGGCCGAGCAGCATGTGAGGGGAGGCCCAGGCCCGCCGGCCCCCCCGGGCCGCCTGCATACCTGTAAGAGACACGGACGGCTCGGCACAGAACACTTCCTGTCGTCAGCTGGGGGGGCACCCAGCACCCACGGGGAGCCCACTCTTTCCCAGACACTCTCTCATTAGGCGTAGGAACCAGCAAGAGCAGGGATGCCAAATTCAACAAATCGGTATCACACAGCTCTGGGGACCCACCAAGTTAGAAGCATCGTCCTCAGAGAGCTCCAAGCACACCTGCCAGGCGAGGGGGGTCCTGCTTACCCGGTGGTGAAGCCGGGGCCCCCGGGGTAGCCCCCGCGGCTGTACACCCCTTGCTGCACGTAGCCCTTGTTGGTGCCACCCTCACCGAATGCCTGTTGCCCGAGGCACTGCGGGGAGTTCAGGGCCGAGCTGCCGCCTGCCACGCCGGGCATCATGGAGCTGCCGGGGGGGCTCCCCGCTGGGCCCATGGGGTTCCCCAAAACCTATAAGGAAGCAAGAATCACTAAAGGAAACCATCCGAACAACTTGCTTCATGCAGTACTTCTAATGCGCTGGTAAGGAGAGGCCTGGCAGGTGAGGAGGTGGAGGTGGGGGCAGAGGGGAGGGGGAGGGAGGAGAGCGGAGGGGAGGGGTGGTACGACAGGTGGGAGCAGCTGCTCACAGGTGGCTGTGTGGAGGCCAGGTGCAGACAGGCGATCCCACGCCACACGTGGAAGAACCAGTCCCTGAGGAGGTGGGAGACTCAGGAAGGCCTGGCTCCACTTCTCCGAGATCTGAGGTGGGCTCTGGCCGCTCTCAGGGTGGGGCCCAGGTGTGGGCTCACCTGGCTCTGTGCCGCGTTGCCGACTCCCCACACGGTTGTGACCACAGACAGCGATCCTGCTGGCTGACTGGCACTTTGTTGCCAAGGCACCGCCTCATAAGCGAATGGACCATCACTGCAAGGAGAGAGGCGGGTGGGGAGCCTGGGTCAGGAGGCCAAGGAGCCAAGAACCCCACCTGGGAAGAACTGAAAGCTGGGAGCAGAGGAGTCCCACTCCACCACCCACCCGTGTGCTGGGACCTGAGAGGGGAGGGCAGCAGGAGCCCCCACTCACCCGTGTGGCGCGGGGGGCAGGGCAGGTTTCATGGGGTTCATGGGGTTCATTGGCTTGGGAGCAGCCTAAAGGCCAGGTCTGTGGGTGGAAGGAAGCAGCCCTCACCGGTGCTTACGTGGGACTCAGTTTCTCTGGCTGCTGGGACAAGAGGGAAGGAAGTCAGTGGAGATGCAGCTGGGAGACCCCTGTCAACAGGGCAGAGTAGGGCGAAGTGGGTCTGAGCACAAAGCCCAGCCCTTCCTCTGCTCCAACTGATGGAGGGTAGAGCAGGGTGAGACTGGGATCTGGGGGCCCACTCAGGGGGGTCAGGGCAGCCTTGCACTGGCTCCGCTCTGCACTGCCCACCCTGGCAAACCTCCGCCCTCCCTACCCCGGAAACCCAGCCCAGAAGCCAGCATTAACCCTCCCTGGCCAGGCTCCCTAACCCCCCTCCAGGGCCCCAGCCCCTGGAATGGCTCTGGAAGCAGGCTTTCTGGTTCCAAATACTTTCCACATTCCCCCTCCCCCACACGAAGGCCTGGCTATCCATAAAAGCCAGGGAACATCCAGGACCCGATTGCCAGAACCACTCCCGGAAGGCCCTGGGGGTGGAGAGAGAGGCCAGAAGCAGCAGAGGAAGACGGAGGGCCAGCCAGGAGGCATCACCTGCTGGGGGCTGGGGATTGCCCACCACGGGGAGGGACCTGTGGATGCCAGTGGCCCTCATGGCCAGCCATCCTCCAGCCTGGCCTTGGGGAGAGGTTTGTGGGACACCTGCTGGAACCAGGTGTGGGACCAGCAGCCCATCCCTGGCCGCCCTTCTCCCCGGCCACCGCCCAGGGCAGCAGAAGGGCAGCGTGTGCTCACTGCCTTGAGACCAAGGGGGGCTGCCTGGGAATGACATAGGCATAGGGCCAAGGCAGGCAGACCTGACCCCCCTAGATCGCAGTGACACCCATGCTGAGTTCCCAACAAGGCAGGGACGCACACACAGTGCAATGAATGGGCATAGGGTTGACAGGCACCCATGGACAAGGCAAGGGGCTAACGGGGACACAGGAGCAGTGGCCAGCAGACACTCATGGAACCTGTGTGCCAATGCTGGGGTAGGGGGCAGGTCCTCCTACTATGCGGGGCTGGCTCTCTCCCACTCAGCATCTCAGAAAAACGAGCAAGGAAGAGGCTGGCTGCTCTTCCAGGATGCCAATGCCCTCAGACACCCCCAAAAGCAAGCCCTTCGCCAACCAGGCCTGGGCCCTTGCTGGCACCCCAACCCCAATCCCCAGCAAGGCCACCTCCCACGCCCACCTCCACCCAGCCTAACCACAGAGGCATGCTGGCTGTGGTTCTCAGGAGGTCTCCCAGAAGGCCCCACTTTGCATCTCTGTGTCAAGGTTCCACTCTAGAGCACACTGCCTTTTAGGGGCTGCAAGGCCTCACACACAGACACACCGCCTGAGGCAAGCTAACCTCTGGTGGAACCCTGCTCCAACGTATGCAGTGCCTCCCTCTGGCCCAGGAGCAAGAGTGGCCCAAGGCTCACATTCCTGAGTATTGACCGGGGAACTCAGGGTCAGGGCAGCCCAAAGGAGACAGGATTATCATCACGTTCTCTGCAAACACAGTCCTGAAGGCACACGGGGGACGTGTCCTTCCCCAGAGCCCCAGAGCAGCTAAGAGGTACAATGGGGACTGTGACTTGGGCCCAAGGCCTCCCACAGAGCACTGGGGTAAGCGCTTCCCAGAGGAGTCCCAGAATCGCAGCAGAGCCAGGGCTGGGAGGGAGGGTGACCACTCAGACAAGAGGAAGAGGGAGGCAGCTGGCATGCCTGTCTACCTCACACCTGGCCCTGCTCCCCTTCCCAACCCCCTCCCGGAGGAGTCAGGCCCTGGAACTCCTCTCCATCCCCAGACCAGGTGCCAACCAGGAAGCAGAGGCCAGAAAAAGCAGAAAGCTGGTGGTTCCAGAAGGCTCAGGGGCACCTGGGCTCTGTGCCCCTGGGTTCAGGCCTGGGAGCCAGAATCACCCAGCCAGGCAAAGGAAGGCTGGTTGTCCCCAGTCCCCACTGACCGACTCCAGGATGGTGACACTGGGGTGGGGGGTGGAGTGCCAACAGCCAGAAACTTCCCCCAGGCCTGCTGGGTGGGAACTGGAGCAACACGCAGTGTTTCCAGGACTTGGAATACAGGTGGGCTAATCCAGACTGTGGTGTCAGCAGAGGGACAGACACACAGGTCAATGGAACAGACCAGAGAACCCAGGACAGCCCCATACAAATAACTGGCCCAACTGCATTTTGACAAAGGAGCAAAAACTATGCTCTAGAAGAACAGCATTTTCAACAAGTGTTGCTGGAGCAACTGGACACCCACAGGCAAAAACAAACAAACAAAAACCTGAACTTCACATCTGATACAGAAATTAACTCAAAGTGGGCCACAGAGGCAAATGGACAGCACAAAACCTTAAGGCCTTTCTTAGATTTGACGCCAAAAGCATGACCCATAAAAGGGAAAATGCAAAGCTTTTGCTCTGTCAAAGGGCTGCGAAGAGGAGGAAAAGCCAAAAGCTACAGACTGGGAGGAACATTTGCAAGCCTCGTATCTGACAAAGGACTAGTACCAAGGATATATAAAAAATTCTCAAAACACTAAAGTTAAAAAAAAATTAGAAAACAGGCAAAATACACTTCACGAAAGAGGATGTACAGATGGCAAATAAGCACATGAAAAGATGTTCAACGTAACTGGCCCCCTGAGAAATGCAAATTAAAGCCACACCAAGGTATCACTCACACACCTCTCAGAATGGCTAAAATAAAAAATAGTGACACTAGCAAATGCTGGCGAGGAGAAACTGGATCTCTCATGGTTGGTGGGCGAATAAAATGGTGCGGCCACTCTGGAGAAAGGTTTGGCTGTTTCTTATAAAACTGAGCATGCATGGGAGCAACCGCTACCTGAACACTCATCTCAGAGAGGTGGAAACTGATGCTCTCGTAAAAATCTGTACGTGAATGTTCATAGCAGCTTTACTCCCAATAGCCAAAGAAAGGAAACCCAGATGTCCTTCCATGGTGAAGAGTTTAACCAACCGTGAGCCTACAGGCATGAAAAGGAAGAGCTAATGATACAGGCACCAACCTGCAGGAATCTCCGGGGACTCATGCTGTGTGGAAAAAGCCGATCCCCAGAGGTTACACACTGTAAGATTCCCTTTATATAACATTCCTGAAATGATGCAATTATAGAAATGGAGAGCACCCTGGCGGCTGCCAGGGGTTAAACGTGGGGAGGAGGGAAGCTGGTGTGAATATAAGAAGGCAGGGATGGAAATAACTGTATCTCAACTGTATTGATGTAGCATCCTCCTGTGATGTTGTGCTACAGTTTTGCAAGATGTTACCAGTCGGGAAACTGGGTAAAGGAGACAGAGTTCTCTGTGTTATGTCTTATAATAACTGCATATGAATCTACAATTCTCTCAAAATAAAAATTTATTTAAAATGCAACTACCACCAGTTCTCTGTGTGGGCATCCCACACAGATGCCCAGGGCAATTCTTTCCCACCCCAAAGTTGGTTGGGTTGGCCAGGCCCACTGTGCTGTCCCAGAAGTAAAGGACAGGGAAGACAAGCCCCCGGCCCAGGTCGGAGCTCCAGGGCCAGCGGCATTGCATTCACAGCTGCAGATTCTCCAACTCCAGCACACCAGAGTCACCAGGAGGGCTAGGGACAAGATGGCTCAGCCCCACACTGAGTTAGGAAGATGGGGTGGAGCCTCAGACTTGCATTTCTAACAAGCTTGCAGGTAATGCTGCTGCTGCTGCTGCTACTGGGACCAGCCTGAGAGGCTCAGAGAGCTGGGGAGGCGAACAGGGCAGGTGCCGGGCAGGTGCGGGGCAGGAGCCTCTACAGAGGTTGCTGGTCTGGGGCCCAGTGCCGCCTCCTACATCACATGGGCTTGGGGAATTCCACCCCCATGACTTCTCTGCTGTGGACAAGACCACAGACACTTCCAGTTCCCCCCTGAGCTCACTGAGTGGGGGCAGTGACTTCCTGACTTCCTGCCAAACTCCTGAGCTAAGTCAGTCTGCTCTCTCTCTTGAAAAGCCCCAAACTCTCCAGGTCAGGGACCCCGTGACCCTCTGCTACTGACAAAGGGAGAGGTATTTTGTGAGTGTAGGACCCTCCTTCCACCTCCTGGCCTTAGAGGGAGAGCTAAGAAGGAGGCTGGGCGTGTGTGCATGGCCAGTACCAGCCTCTGGTGGCTTTCTGTCAGCTCGGGGCTCTCCTGTACACCAACTCGCTGAAAGCCAGGACCTCGGCAGAAATGCTCTGGCACAAGGTCAGTCTAGAAGGTCACATGGCTTTCTGGGGGTCAGATCATGCTTTCTTCCGGAAAGAGAGCTACAGACAACTCACTACCCAGATGCCCCCCTTCCCCAGGCATTCAGAACATCTGCACTCCAGTTTCCAAAGGCAGATGTAAACATGGATCAATCCTCTTCTACCTTCACCCCATGCCCCCTGCCTAGTCACCCAGGAGCAGCAGGCCCCACGACAAGCCACCTGACCCCAGGAAGGCAGCCCTATTCCACAGTCACAGAGCAGGGACTCCCCAGGCCTCCCCCAGCAGCAGGGAACCCACTGTTACCACAGTTCCAGTGACAGAGGAACTCCAACCAGAGGGACATGAGTCAAACAGGCTCAGAGAAGGGAGAATGACAGCTAAAGCCGAGGAGGACACAAAGGTGGGGGCTCACGTGCTCAAGTGGCTGAAGTCCTGCCCCTTTACCTGGGAGGCCACACACTGACTGGCTTAAGTGTTAAGAGTGCATCCAAATGACCAGGAATGAGCATTTTTGAATGGCCCAGGTGTGGCACATTTCAGAGAAGGGCTGAAAGGTTTTTCTATTCTGGGCCTCCATTCACAACAGGTACCAGGTACAACGGGTATGTGATGGCCACTCTAGGACTGAGTTGAGGGGAGGACATGTGACCACCTTTAAGTCATCAGCCCTGGCTCCCAGCCTGAACCCAAGTGCTAGTGGACACTCCATAGGGAGGCTGCCGTTAGAGACAGATCCAATGATCAGGAGTCCTCCCCAGGCATATCCTACCGGTCCTGTTCAGTTGCTCTGAACCTGTCATTCCTCATCGCACCTTCCTCTTCGAAGCCTGGAACCACCCCTTGGGCGTGACAAGTCCCCAAGGCCAATACCCACTGGGTGAGGTTGAGATTCCTTCACTTAGCCTGTTACCTCTCTCAAGCTTCATCAAATGAGGCCCTGTGGCTCTAATATGATAGGATTTGGTAGGTGAGTCTTACAGATTGAGTCACATGCTCTGTGTATGTCCCTGTGAAATCTTCTGAGATAATACAAACGACTTAGACATCACCATGGATATTCTGCAACTATCAGGGGGCAGGATGTGGGAGAGCAGGTCGAGGGAAGCAGGTCAGGGGGGAAAAGGCGAGCAGGACATGGGGAGAGGAGCTGGCCAGGGGGAGGGAGGGTCCGGAGCAGGACTGGGGGAGCAGGGTAGCGGGGTGGGGGGGGGG